TTTTACAGTGGGGTGGGGGAAATTTGAATATTGTGTAGCTATAACATCTTCCTGGTAGTCATATCTTTTGTAAATTTCTTAAAATTATGAGTAAGATGTTAATAAGTTTTCTCTATTAAGAACTGAGATATAGAAACTATGAATTCAGAAAATGGTAATTCTTGAGCTATGCATTTCATGTATTTTACCAAGGGGAATAATCACACAGACAGATTTTTAAATAATTTAATTTCCTAATTTTATTATTGCCGCATTATAATAATATTTTCTGTTCTGCCAGGAATTCACATTTAGTTTCCAGGGCCAGCTCTTTCTTTGCAGTCCCTTTCCAAAGGTGGCCCAATGAGTATTTAAGTACAGATGTCCCCAAACTATTATTTATCTGGGATAAATTGTGATTCAGGATAAAGGATGTCAAATCACATATTTTCCAATAGAAGCAAATTAGCAATGGGTATTTTATTTCTTAACAAGGGCCTAGTGTCCAGTTATTTTTACCAAAATGCTCATAAACAGTAAATGGAATCAATGACAAATGAGATATGTTTACAGTGTATAGCATAAGACTTCACAAAGTATATATAAATTAATTTAAAAGAGTTTTACAGAAAGCAAACATATAGTACATAATTTAATATAGTTTGAAGATTCCTAGGGATGAGGATTTTACAAGATGGGATAATTCTGTGTGGACCTAAGAAAAAGATCATTGTAGTGGGACATAGAGAGTACGTAAAACGTCAAAAATGTGTGTGTGTGAGAGAGATAGGGCGTGTGTGGAGAGAGTAAGAGGTTCTCAGCAGGTCCCAGGAGGTCTCCTGTCATCTGCAGTAAAGATGGTACTGGCTTTCATGCATTATTTATTGTCAAGGGGTAGACTGATTCATTGCTATGATTTATATACTGCCTGCTATAACTAATATAATTGTCTCATCACTGGAAAGAAATTCTATTTCAGGTTGTCACAAAAAGTTGGACTCCACTTTGCCCCACCCCACCCACTGATATAGCCACATATATTTTTGATAAGAGAAAGCATTGTTCCTTGAATTATGCAATATATATGTAAATCTAAATTTTATTAATCAAATTATTTAGCAACCTATATCAATCATACTAATTTCTAATTCATATTTAATATTAAGATACCCCTGTCATTTTTACTTTTCCTGCCTTTTCAGCTTCTGTCAAATAGTTGAATATACTGAAACACCATAAAAACCCTCTCATAATGTTTTTTTTGAGAGAAATCCTACAGTGACTTTTTAAAAAAATTCTTCAAATCATCTCAGTTTTCTTTTTGTCCTGAATTTAGGTTTTAAATGTCAGATTCCTGAAAATAAGCAACTCTTATGAGTCTTATGTGGATCATTTGAGTGTTAAGATAGTAATCAAGTTCCAGCATGAACACAACTACAGAGATAGCATGGAGACCTTGTGCCATTTGACTCACAATTCTGTGTCTACAAAAAGGGTTGCATTTATGTCCTTTAAAACCATCTTAAAATCAGAGCGCAGACTGAAAAAGCTAACTGTGTCAGCTACTAAACCTACCAAAATAACTATTAGAAAATTAAATCCAGTCGTTCTTCTTCAAACCAGAATATGGAATATGGAGTAGCAGGCAGAGAAAACAAAGCAAAATAAAAACTTATTAGATAGAATTAGTAGAAGAAAGTTGGTGTATTTCGATTACAAATGTATTTTTCCTTTCCTTTAAGTGTATACAAGATGTTAAAATCTTCAACAAGAGAAAAGTGTATGAAAATCACAAGTAAAATGTGTTTTTCATATTATTTAATAATTTAATTTATTTATCTAAAGTTAATTTAAATAATTGCCTACTGAAGTGTATAAGAAAAAACTTGATATGTAAGGCATTTTAATGTCAAAAAATGCCATTTCCCAAATTTCAGTTGAAAATGGAAGCTTTCTGAGTTCCCAGGAAAAAAAGGTAGCCTGGATATTATTATCTAACAAAGATGTGACAATTGCAATAAATAATGAAACAAAAGTGCTACAGAGTGATAAAGATCCCCAAAACAATAATCATAAATATATATGATGAACTAGTAGGAATACAAAACATCTACTTAATTTTTTTTTTGTTCAACTACCACGTTAGGATAAGTAAATCTGGATTTCCAACAAAGCACTCAGTGATAATATAAAAGTAATAAAACTTATCCTAATCACTCATGACCTACAACCAGTCTAATGAATTGTCTCATCAAGCCTTTCTATTGAACTAGTGGTGATGGGTTCAGGAAGAGTTAGAAACATCTGAAAAACAGGGAGAGACACTTATACGTGCAAGGGCCTGTTTACTTACAGGCCACGTGGCATTTCTCAGCTCCCGCCATGTCTGACTGGGAGACGCCATGGAGCCAAGGAAACATTCCTAGATTAGAAGCCTGGAACGAGGCAGAGCTGTTCCTGACTGTTTCTTTGCTTTTACATTAATTACAATACCAACAGGTTTGGCTTTTCTCCTGAGCAGAGCATAAAGTGGGAATGTTCTTCTACGTGATTGCTTTCAGAGCTGGCTAGCATTCCATCTATCTAGAAAGGGTGTCCAACATCTAATGATACTTCCCCAAGAAGTATCCTGTGTCTCCACTAAGTTGTAATAATTGTAGAAATGTACAACAAAGATTCACATTCTCAGGTAAGAAAGGGAGGATTTGTGGTCATTTCAGAGAGCAAAAGTGGGTGACTCTTTCGAATACACTGATAGGGAACACACATGTGAGGCTGCTGACCTTTTAATTAGCCCCCAAGCAGTGTCACGGCTAATACACCTTCGTGTTGAAACTCAAACGAGGTTGACTGTACAGAGATGATCCTCGTCTTATTGAAGAGATGTTTAACCATGGGTGTTTTGTGATACACATTCTTTTGTGTGCAATAATTTTCACTAAACCGAAGGAAGCATACTTGATACATATTGTCTTTCTGTGGTGACTTCAAAACCTGATAAACCGATGTCTTCTTTTGATTGCATACTTAGCGTGAGGTGAAACTAGTAAAGGCCACGTCTGTGACATAGAACTGAGGTCAGAATGTGAAGACAGCAGAGTCCCGGGGTCATGCTGGACACTTCGCTAGAGTCTTTGTAATATTGTCTGAACTGTTGCTCTCCTGACTCATCCTGCCATCTTGTTCTGCCCGCCTCCAGGGGACACTGCACTCCACACATCATAGGCTAGAAGTGCATTCATGGCATATCACCTACTATAATTATTAACACAGGTCCAGTGGCAAATTTTTATCTATTTTGAGAAGGCCAAGGTCAGGGGATTGTAAAGGATATTAAAGATTGGTAAAGTAATTTGAAATTGCAAGGTATTCAAAGTCATCATTGATTTGGAGAAAATGTCTAATTTTCACTTTGAGCAGTTTTCAGTATAATATTTGCTATAAGACACAAAGTGTTAGAGGCCTAAGTTCAGCCCCACTGAATGTAGACTGCACATTTATTGTGCTGTGTTGTAAAAATAAAATCTGGACTATAATTTTTTTTATAAGAATATAATTTTCTCAGCTTCTTTTCACTGTAGCATTAGTGGTCCATTTTAGTAAATGGCTAAAATAACCTAGGGAGTAGGGTACTCATGCTTTTTACTGATTTTCTGAGATTCTGGCCAAAGAATGAGGGGCAGACATCAAATTTTATGTTTTTAATATCTACTATAAAGATACCACATGCAATAAATTGGATTTGTAGAAACTACTAACAGTGCAAAGTTATTTATCTGTCCACTGCTTCTATACTGGACAAAAAGAATAAGTGGTTAATCATTTTATAGGTGATAAATTATTTTCAAAACATAATTGCCCAGTGAAGACAGAGGAAAATTATACAAGATACAAGGACTAGCACTTTTTCACTACTTGGTGAAAAAGGTGAGGTTTACTTTTAATAAATACATTTTAATTTATTTCACATGCTCTATCAAACAGCCACTTCCCTAACATATAAGTAAATAGGTATTTCTTATTTCATTAAGTTCAAATGGTGGTAGTGGCCAAAACCTACTGATTCATAAGTATTTATTGCATAAACAATTTAGTTCTGAGTGCCTAGTATCATTTGATGAATAAGTTAAAGAAATGTTTTTTCCCCCTCCCACCAGGATAGAAAACCATCGGGTCACAGTTATTTGTACTTCTCTGCATAAATATAACCTCATGGCTTGGTCATGTGTACAGTGATTAATACTATCAGAAGAAAAAAAGGGGACATAAAAAAATAAATCCCTTCAGATCCCTTTCCATGAAATATGTGTGTCTTCCAGGCTTTCTCTGCACTCAGAAGAGCCTTTGTGACCCGTGTTGGGTTCCTTGACCATGGGTTTCTTCCAATCCAATGTGGGAATTCTGACCACCTCCATCCACCTGTCTAAATCTGGATGGAAAGCCATCTGAGTTTCAGAAGGAGTCAAAAGATGTTTTTGGTTTGTAAGTGTCACTACCTCACGATGAAAAAGTCAAGTGTATATTAAAGAAGAAGATAGTTTCTGAAGGGAGAGAAATGCCTGCAAAGTGTAGAGGCATCTTCAGTCAAAAACCTACAAGCTCGAGTGAGCTGGATACATGCCTGTGACCCCTGTTCTGATTGCTATGGTTTTGGCTTTATGAAGTTCCGGTAGACTGGTTCAGTAACTTTTCATCTTTGGTTTGTGTAGAACATTTATCTGCTTGTCACGTTGATTACAATGAGCATTGCCTTATGCCAAGTATGTTAGGTTAATATAAATTGTCCTATCTGTTCATTTAACCGTTTTGACTTAGCTACAATTTTAAGTATAGCTAGAGGAGTAGGCTAGAATAAGTCTCCAAAAATTCACCATGAAATCTTTTATAGCATTATTCTCATTGTGATGAGATTGAGTGAACGACACAGGAAGGAAATTTCTCTCTCACTGACTCTTTTTATGACATGATTCTCTGAATGAACTGGCCCAAGGTTATGCCTGATCTTTGGGACGCCGCCGCCCCCCCCCCCAGTTACACTCACTAGTAATGATCACAAGCAAACAATGTTGTGGAAACTACTTCCTGCAGGTATCGTGTCTCTCTCCAAACAGACACAAGAGCAGACTCGTCTAATCAGCAGAATGTCCCCCTCCCGCTCCCCTCCCCAGACCTGCTGTCTGTACTGCTGGCACATTAATAAAGCTGAGACATAAATCAGGACCTCTGAGGGTCTCTCCCCCTGAGTCCCTTGTAGAAACTTGTGGTCTCTAGGCAACAGCTCAACCGAGTGAGCCGCAGGAGGCTTGCTGTGAGCGCGGCACCACTAGGAGCTGGGCTCAAATGGTCTCAGCCAGGAGTCGCTCTGATGTGTTTCTTTAATGGCATTTCCAACGCAAATGCCACGTGCAGGTAACTCGGAGGTGTTCAACCCTGGAAGCTGGGACTTCAGGGAAGGCCGTATGAACATCAGCAACCAGTCTCCTGCTCCTCTGATGTGTCAGCAAAAGTCACAGCACAGAGCATCTGAGTAATTTTCTTTTTACTCCTGAAAGCTTAGGATAATTATTTTTCACAGCCACATTAACTACTCTTATGAGTAGCATCTTGATGGCATTTTCAAACTCATCTAAGAAATGTGGAGAGTCTAGGTAGTGGCTATAAGTGTGAAATTTATCAAGGAGGGACTGGATACTGCTTTTATCTAGTAGTAACTATCTATAATGAATTGTCAATCTGCATTCAAGCTATGGCCATGGATGAAAGAAAAATCTCATCACAGGTCAGCAAATCACGTACCCTTTCAACAGACTAACTCTGAAAGCTTAAACAATTTTGATGTTGAAAAAGAATCAGGTTTTCATCTTACAAGACCTAGGATCATGGTTCTTTAAATCCACCTTGGAGTGTTGGGACCTGACCATTTTAGGCATGTGGCATCAGACAATTTAGGCAGAATGATTTTTATTTTTACTTAAGTAAACTCCAAACTAGAAAAAAATATCTATGTTGACCTGAATTAGCCAAACTTACCCAGTTCACGTGGGAATCACCACTTCCTTTAAAACCCTATAGGTCTGTCATTAGTCTCAGGGATGAAAGACCTTGTTGTTGTTGGACACATTTTCTCTTATCATCCCAGTCAACCCATATCCAGTCAAAGGAGAGTAAAACCCAGCCAATTCTGGTTATGTAGTAATTACAAGCCCCTGATGGCTCTCTGAGAACAGCATCTCTGACACTTAAGAATGACACCTACCATCCTTCCCATGCTCTCCTCTTGACTGCAAAATGTCTGAGTTCTTTTAAAGTGTATTTTTATCCCTTAATCAGATTGTCATTTAGAGTCTTTCTTTTCCTCCAGGTTAAATGGAAGCTGATTGGGGATCACACCCTATCTTCCCATGTAGCTCAGAGGGGGCCCAAGGGAGAAACATCATCAACAACAAGGGGTACTTAAACAGAAAGACAGGGCCGTGACGTGACGAGCAGGACAGCCAGACTGGTTCCTTCGCTTCAAGAGTGGTTCCCCGTTCTCACATTGTCACTTCTGTTTGTCATAGGAGCAGACGTGACTACATAAATACTTTGCTAATAAGAAGCCTTTTTTTTTTTTACAGCACTATTTTAAAAATAGTTATTCAACATAACAATCTTAATTTTAATGCACCAAATTACAGTTTTCAACAATTTAAGTGAGCATATCCTGTCACTCTCGGCACACATGGATATATACGTGTTAGATATAGATGGATACAGCAATATCCATATCTGTATTTGTCTACAGACACACACGCACACACACAGCACACACACACACACAGAATAGAGCTACAAGGCCCTGCATAATAGTGTTCTAAATTTCCTGTTCCCTTCATTGTCACTGGGCTTACTTATATGGAGAGTTGTGATACCATTTGTAGAGCTTACTGGATTTGTCCCTGTTGAAAATCTCCGAGCCACACAGCTTGTGGCGGGTCACCTTTCTGTCCAAAGACAGACCTCTCATCAGGTAGGAGGACTGAGCCCAGAGTAATGCCAGGGGTAATGCCCTCACCCACGTCCAGTCCAGTCCAGCTTGGCAACTTCTCACCTTGCCCAGGTTCCTGCTGCTGTCAGACCCAAAGAATTTTATTTAAACGACTGTTCAGACGATTTGGATTCTATTTTTGTAAAACACCGATTCCCCACCCCCCACCCCACCCCCATCCCAAGAAACTCAATAAATAAAGGACTTAGCCACAGAATCAAAGAAGCAGAACTCCAGGTTTGAACCTTCTACCGTGACTGGGGACAGACCAGACCCAAGTCAATGTTCCCTGCAGTTGGTCCTCCGGGAGGCAGAGGGCGCGCGCCCCGCAGGCAGGCAGGCGGTCCGGACAGACGGTCTCTCTGGTCTCAGCCTCGCCCGGGGTGTCACTGGATGAGGCTGGAGCTGTAGCTGAAGCCGTAGCTGCTGGAGCGCGACAGGGCCGGCTGCGTCTCCTCGCTCTGCTCCGAGGCGTAGCTGGGGAAGGTCTGCGCACGTGCCATCTTTGAGGGCCCGAACCCGTGACCTGGAGGGGCACAGAAGGAGAGATGTATGGGCGCCGGCTCGGAGGGGCGCCGGACGAGGGGGACAGCGAGCGCCCAGCGGCTGGTTCCTGGGGCGGGGGGCTAGGATGTGGTCTTCAGGGCCCAGTGTTGGACCCGAGTGGTGTCTTGTCAGAAATTCTGGATGCCGGAGAACTAGGGAGAACTTTCTAGGGATTTCAGACTTCAATCTCTGGAACAAAAGCACAAAATCTCCCTCCCCCCACCACCAAAAGCTGCCTTTTTGGTGGAGAACCTGTAAACGCTTTCTCTTCTTTGATGGTCCCTTTTCAGCATACGGGAACGAATGACACATTCCTTAAATCCTTTCTGAGCAGCCAACTTCATTTTATCCTAACCAGTGTCAGTTATCAGGAAGAAATATACAGGGGGATAGCGTTTCAGTACCCCGGGTTTGTGAGTAATGGAACTCACTTCATGATGCAGTTATTAACCCAAATGATAAACCTCCATGGTTATTGCTAACTGCTGCTAAGTCACTTCAGTCGTGTCTGACTCTGTGCAACCCCACCCCTGGGATTCTTCAGGCAAGAACACTGGAGTGGGCTGCCATTTCCTTCTCCAATGCATAAAAGTGAAAAGTGAAAGTGAAGTCGCTCAGAAATATCTGACTCTTCCGAACCCCATGGACTGCAGCCTACCAGGCTCCTGCGTCCATGGAAATTTCCAGGCAAGAGTACTGGAGTGGGGTGCCATTGCCTTCTCCATGCTTATTAGAATGGTCTAAAAGCTAACTCTTACAGAAAATTTATTTTAAAAAATTCTATCTACGATTTTATAGCACAGATGTACCCCTGCGGTGAGAACTTTGTTTAATGCAAAATCCAAAGGTGATTACTGGAAAGCTAGTGGAATGCTAACAACAGCAGGAGAAAGGATGCGTTCTGGGGCCTCATGTAGACTTCCCAGGGGTCTGTTCTAAATGAGTCAGGATTGTGCCTCACACGTGAGGATGAGTATCTGGTGGATGAGCTCAGTGCGAGAGAAGATGGACTAGACGTGGTAGGTTGTGCTCTCAGAGCATCTGCCTCACACAAAGCAAGAAACGTACTGAGTCTGGTTTATACGATTTCTGGTGTCTGGCGAGAAACCCAGGGAAGACTGCCTGTTAACACAGAAAGAGCGAACTCTGCTCACTCTGGGTGGGGCTGCCCTTTGCAAGCTCATGCGCTTAAAGCCAGTCTCATCATCCTCCGGTGTGTCTGACGACTCAGAACCCTATCCTTGTTGAGATCTGGGAAGGAAATGCAGATACTTCGAGTAATAATAAAAAGCTAATTGAAGTGGCAGAATCTCCTAACATTAAGAAAAATCATGAGAGCGGAGCCTTCCGTTCTAGATAAATACCCTTTTAGGGGCACTGTTGGCCTGGTTCTTGGGGTGAGCCTCAGAGGAGGGCAGGGCAGAGGGGGCCCCACCGCCCCGGCCAGCCTGCGCGTCTCCCAGGCGTCCAGACCTTCCGACTCCCTCCCCTTGCTCTCGGGGTCCAGAAACCCTGTCTCCTCTTTCTGCTCCTTCAGGCCCGAGGGTGGCGGGCTGCCTTGCTCCTGCTTGTCGCTCACACGTCCTCATCATCTCAGTAACTGGATCCACAGCTCATTTGTGGGTCCTGTCGTTACATTCCCATAAAACCTCACGTCTTCTCTTTCCTGTCGGACCGTGAAGAGGCCATGAGGAAAGGGAAGCCGGGTGTCAGGGGGAAGATAGAGCCACCAGAGGCGAGGTCGGGAGTGGGGTCTGGGGAGCTGGCCCCGCGTGACCGGCTGTAACTGACTTTGAGAGACCCAATGGTGTCCGGGTTTCTCGGTTCCCTTCTCTGCATGGTCTGTATGACAGCAGTGGTGTAATACGGCTTTTTGAGTATGAAATCAGTTTGTATCAATTAAATTCATACATGTTAAGTGCGTCATCCCTGGTGGCTCAGAGGTTGAGTCTGTCTGCCAATGTAGGAGAGGCAGGTTTGATCCCTGGGATCAGAAGATCCCAGGGAGAAGGAATTGGCAACCCACTCCAGTCTTCTTGCCTGGGAAGTCCCATGGACAGAGGAGCCTGGCGGGCTATAGTCCACAGGGCCGCAGAGTCAGGCATGACTTAGCGACTAGACAGTAACAAGTCTGTCATCACAGCAAGAGACAGATGCCATGAGGGCCCTTCTCCAGTAGGACGACCATAGGGGCAGTCAGTGAAGACTTCCCTGAGGAGGTGGCCTTTTTACATGGTGCTTGTATGACAGGGTTAGGATACAATGACCTGATGTTGGAAACTTCAAATTTTACAGTTTGCTTCCTTATCTCACCATTGACTTCCTGGATAATAATTCACAGTTCTTATAAGAGGAGAGACTGGCATTCATGAGCAAAAACCAGTTGGAAATCCTAATGTTAAGACTGTGTTCCTGGCCTTGCTTTTACCCTGTTACTTAAAAAAAAAAATTAGAAATATCTGAAAGAGAGCAATGTGAGAGCACACCTTTAATTCACATTACTTGTGGCCTGAAGGCTAAGGTTGAAGTTGTGAAGACAGAAGTGTCTTTGCCCACGCACACAGGTTTTGACCCTGGAATCTTGGTGTAAAACTTCAGTCATTTTAGTAACATTTGCCAAGCAGTTACCAAAAGAGTTCAAGATTCCACAGGGAAGACCATGGTCCCTGAGTTTCCAGGGTCCACAAGCTGCTGTGGGACGCTCAGTAGACAGGGACAGGCAGCAGCAGACATCCACGCAGGGTCTGTGCAGCCAGTGCGGTCTGGGAGCAGAGCAGGATGCTAGTGTGGCCCACGGGCTTGGTTCCAGGGCTGAAGACATCAGTCCAGCCGTCACAGTGACCCCTGCTCCAGACTGTGCAGATCCTCCATCCCCTCAGTGGAAACATACAGCCCTGAGTTCAAAATCCAGGCCTACTATCCCTTTTTTGAGCCTCATTTTCTTGCACAGACAGAACACACTTTCCTAAGGTTTTTTTTTTTTTTTTTTGGTCATGCCGTGTGGCATGCACGATCTTAGTTCCCCAATCAGGGATCGAACCACGACCCATCCCCCCTGCAGTGGAAGCACAGAGTCTTAACCACTGGACCACCCGGGAAGTCCCTTTCCTAAGGCATTTTGAGGGTTAAACAAAACAACATAGACTTCCCAGGTGGCACAATGGAAAAAGAATCTGTCTGCAATGCAGGAGACCCAGGTTAGATCCCTGGGTCCGGATGATCTCCTGGAGGAGGAAATGGCAATCCATTCCAGTATTCTTGTCTGGAAAATTCCTTGGACAGAGGAGCCTGGTAGGGGTCATGGGATCACAAAGAGTTGGACATGACTGAACACACACACACATAATTTCAAACAAAACAACATGCAGGAAGACACCTGGGGTGGTAGGTGCCTAATAAATGTTAGTTTTCCCCCTTCTGTCTACACGGAATGTGTCCACACTCTTGTCTGACTTCCTATTCAGTGTCTATACTTTCTCTGTCATTGCAGTGTGCTGTCCTCAATATGACAGGTTTTGATTATTATTCTCATTCGGTCATCTTGAAGACTTCTTCATCTCCTCTACAGTTTCTAGTCTAATTGGAAATGAAATGGTGAATTTTTCTTACCTCCATCATGTCTTTACAGACATTGATAACTGATGCTATTTAATACCACAAAAATAATATACCTCAATCAGAGCTGAACTTATGCTTAATAAATGCTGTTTGATTTTGGCAACAATGAGTATGAGAAGAAAAGAGAGAAATAATTAATCATTTTCTCAACATTCATTTGAATTCTGCCCCTAGGCACTGTTGATGAAAACAAAACAAAAAACAGAAATCAACTTTGTGGCTTAAATTAAAAACTTGCTGGAATAGACCTGTTCACTCCACTCAACAGAGACTCTATTTCAGTTCTTCCTAAACTTTCCCTCCAGTGCCTTGTGCTCAGTCATGACTGACTCTTTGTGACCCCATGGACTGCAGCCCACCAGCCTCCAGGCAGGAACACTGGAGTGGGTTGCCTTGACCTCCTCCAGGGGCTCAGGGATTATTATTTTCTTGACTTTTTCTCTGGGAGGTATTTGTACTTGCTAATGAAATTCTTTAATTTGTTTTAAGATTACATAAAATGATTAAATATAACATGTAATTTTTATCTTCAATTATCAAAAAAGAAAAATTTTAAAGGTTGTTTCATGCCACTACGTTTCTGATAATAAACTGTCAATTTGCATTACACTAATTTACATTCTTGCAGCCATGAAATTAAAAGATGCTTACTCCTTGGAAGGAAAGTTATGACCAACCTAGACAGCATATTAAAAAGAATTTTGCCAACTTGAAGGATAAAAAATTGCATCTTGTTTAATTTCCTTTTGCTACAATGAAGTGTTTAAATTTTGTAGTCAAGTGTTTGTGGTTTCCGGTTTTGTGCCTTGAAATGTCTTTATCACATTATTAAAATATTTTCTTATAAGTTGTTTTTACATTTTCATAAATTTCCTCTACTGTCTTTAGCTTTTTAATTCATTGCGAATCTCTCTTGGTTCATGATCTGAGGATCCTGTGTGTGTGATGATCATGCTGGCTCTGATGGAAGAGGATGTGGGTTTGAGTTGTTGCTCTGTCCCTTGATTCTTCTGTCCCTCAAGTGTATAATGGCAGTTATAACAGTTTCTGTCAATAGGATCCTGTGTTAAATGTGTTAATTCATGATAGCATAGTCCAGTAGTGTATTACATTCGTGCTTGTGTGACACAGTATTAGCACTGAGAGCAGGGTACTATACTGGGCATACACACACACGCAGCGCACCAGCCCAGTCTTCACACTGCAGGACAGGCAAAGCATTTGCAGCAGCACCTGGTGCTGATCCTTTGTTATGAGGTTCATGAGTCTCAGTGTGAGTGTTTTTCCAAAGGCTTTATGAGATTTTTTTTTTTTCAGTCAAGGAACAAAGGTGTCTCATTTCTGGGAAATACTTCTGGATTA